AGGATCCACACAAAACYGCAACCCAGGAGAAGAGATTTTTTMAAAACAGGCTCTGTGCAATGGAGCAGTTTGGTCAGTGAGTAGTGTGGGTCACTGGGATCTGAATTGAGCTGTTAAAAGCCAAAAGCCTTCAAGTGATCTTATGAATGTGATAATGTTTCAGTTCATGACCAAAGAGAAAAGTTTCTATCCCCATTTTCACTGTCATTTGGAAATGTATTTGGTGTAAAAAGACTTGAAATACCCTTGGGGTGTTTTCCCACTTTCCTGAGGATTCAGAATCCCCAGAGGGAAATATTTGAAAGGTGTCTTTATTAGTGTTTCAAATCTTGGAGGAACTTATTTTTGTGCTCAAATATATTAAATGTGTGTAACAACCTATTAAGTACACTCAGACTGATTTCAAGTATGGGCACAGCCAGATTGGAATGTTTATACACATATAGAGTTATAAAAATGAAGTGAAAACAATCCTTCAACTGCTAATGATAACCATATATGTACTGCTACCACACAGCTTTTCTGCATGCAGATGGAAAAAAAGATTCTTATCCCATTACAAACAGAAACCTTATGCTGCATTTGGTCTACAAATGCATCTCAATTACAACCTGAGAAAAATTTGCCAGCAAACACCCAGTGCTCAGGAGGCCAGAGGGAATCCTTCCCTTGGCTACACTGAAGCTGATTCCTCCCCTGAACTCCAAAAAAGCCAGCACTGACTTGAGCAAATAACAAGTACCTTGTGTAAGGCCAAGCTGGCCTCAGGGACCAGAACTAACACTTCCCTTAATACCACACCAAGTTACTTCACACCGACAAATTCACTGAGGCAACAATTACTGCAAATAATATCACACGCACAGCTGCATATACATTTATCCTTTTGACAAAACCGGAATGATATAGCATTTCATTTGACATTTCTGATAGATTTCCAGTGAGATTTGACAAATTTCTCTTTCCTCTTGAGCTGCTAAGCAGATTCACTGAAGTAGACAGCATTAGAAAGTAATGCCCCAGCCAGCCCTGAAGATAAAATAGGTTTTGCAGGACTAACATAACAGGAATATTTTCCTCAGCACATGCTCAGCACTGGGAGCAGGCAGTGCACAAGGTGCTGCCAATTTTGGGTGCTATTGGTGATGTACTTTTGTGAGCTGTGAAAAAACCATCCTGCACGTTTGTTTTTTGTATATGAAAGCACAGAGTTCTTACTTACTGGAAAAATGTTAAATGTAATTCATTAAGGTTGTGAATTTATGGTACTCAAGAACTATCACCCTTCCTAGAGCCCAAATATTTGGCAGAAGGTTATGAAGGGAGGTGTTAGAAATCAAAGTTCAGAGAAAACCTTTGTGCGTAATTCAAGTTGGTGTGCAAACCTCAGCCAAGGGAATCCACTGCCCAGAGCTGGGACACTCCCTGACAGGGAATCTGCCAGARCTGCTGTTTTGTCAAACTGCACTTTAAACAGCCCCTGGCACTGCATTCTCCTCTTGCCTGARAGGAGCAGGAGTGAGAGGGTGATATAGGGAGAGAATACAGACGAAAGCAGCAGAGACAACGGAGCTTTTATCACTCGCTGGATGCGTGCCACAGACACCAATTATATAGGTTTGACAGCAACCATTATAATTCCAGAGTCCTTGAACAAATCACAAGCAGAAAGGTTACCTTCCTGAAAATGTTCATTGCCATTAAATAAGTGACCCAGACTGGAGGGTGAAGGCAGCACTTAGAGAAAATTTGGGGGAAGGGTGGAGATGGAGAATCTTATTACATGTAGACTYGAGAAAACCCCATAATTTGTTCTGGAAAAGGAATTGCAGATTCACTGCAGATGCTGGATTCACACCAGTGTTCTGCAAATGCAAATCATACAGACAGCAGTAGCAAAACAGACAAGAGACAAATTTTTTTTTTTCATATCATATTGGCAAAACTTGACCAAACTCTGTGGAGTTTATGGTTTTACCCTTCAGTTTGAAAATCACAAGGCCTAGTTCCACATTTCTTTTAAAGTTTAGATTGCTGTGGAGCCTACTGCCAAAGAAAGCTGCCACAGGTCAAACTCCACCATCAGTTACACAACTTAATGACCATATCTAAGTGAAAGATTCGTATTTCATGAAAGATGTATTTCAATATCAAAGAGGGAGTTGAGACATCTGCTAACTAGTGGGTGGCTRAGGATCTCTATAAATTTCATCCTCTGTGAGCAATCATTCCATATATCTGTTGAAAACTTTCACCAAGCAACCGTATAGAAACCAAGGTTATTTGGTACATGGTATTTTGATTTCTTCAGCACATCCCAGTTAKTTGGGATGCACCCCTCTAGAGAAGGTCCAAATTATTTTTAATTGGAGCAGATACATGCAGTCAGAGGGGTCTCTCTTTTCACCCACATTGAAAGTTTATTGTTCTCTTAACTCAGAGTTAAGTCTAATTGGAAGTAACTATTTGTATGAGAACAGGGAGTCAAACATGTGATTCTGAATTTCTGTTCTGAGGCTGGCTCTCTTGATRCAGCAATTTTCTGAGCAGGGTAGAAAGTTTCCAGGCTCTTTCCTGCTGAAATTTCTCCTCTGCCAGACACATGATTCAAGAAACTGGACATACACACACAAAATCAAATTTCTGTCCCCTTGCAAATGTCACAGCACACCTYTGTCAATGTCCATTTTTACCTCACCACACAGCAAACTCTGTGATGCAAAAGAAAAAGGAGGAGGAGGAGAGAGAGAAAGAAGAGACGTTGTCTCAGCCAATTTATTGCTGGGAGACAGCAAGCCTTTACAAAATGAACCAGTAACAGGGTCAAAAAATACTAAAAAACCAAGGCACAAAATCCACGAGTTTTGTAGAATGACTCAAAGGAATACAAATGCTGTTCCCATCACAAGATGAGTTGCAACAGAGTAAGGAGGAGTCATATTAGACYTGTATGTATRAAATGAGCATCTCTTATTTTATTGTTCTAGTCTTGGGGACTTTTTGCACATTCCGAAAGACAAATATATTTTAATGTATCTGTTTGTGTATTCAGAAGAGAATTCTCACAGCTCAAAGGCCACAGTTTTCTAGCTCTGAATCAGAAAGGAKATCTTATAATTGCAAACATAAAATTTAAGCTCCTTTCACTCATAAGGAGATAGACAATTTGAAAGAGCAGGACAGATCGCTAAGAGAATTCTCCCACATAATAATTCTCTTATTAATTCAGCTGAGTTTAATAAGTGATCCTTATTCAGTTCCCAAAAGACCACATCAGAACATCCGTGGAAATAAATCTTCAGTCTCAATAGTCCTGCTTAAGAAGGTGAGGTTAAAAAGCTTCATCAAAGAAATGTACTTATTTGTCATATCTGATTCAAAGCATACAAATTTAAGCAAAGAGTAATACCAGATATTGTCCTTGGATGCAGTTTTTAGCTATGCCTGATCTTGGTGACTCACCAGTATGTCTGGTATAAAAGACATGAGCTGTTTCCAGATCTGTGGGGCAAAGTTACTCCCACTACAGCATCAGCATTGAGAACTTCTACCTCTGAGACTTGGGATCCCACAGGAATCAACAGGACAAAAGCAATGCCAGTGTCAGCTCAGAAATCCTGCTGTGTGGCAGAAGTTTACTAAGTTTAGTAAAAATATTTACRATCAACTAGAACTATTTTTTACAGTTTTCCACAAGTCATTTTGCTTTGTGCTCTCCCATTTTTTTGATGCACCTTCAGTCCCATGGCTGAGCTCTTTCTCTGCTCAGGTTGCACATTGTGCAGAGGAAAGAGGAGCTGAGAGGCTGCAATACTTCCTCTGGTTCCCCCGCAGGTTGGCAGCAGGGATAGTGAGGCAGCAGAGTAAGCCCATCTGCATCAGCAGTTCCTCCCAGTTCAATGCAATATGAAGATAAAAACAGATAGAGAAAGCTGGTGGAGAGTTGTGGTAAGGAGGTAGGAAGGAGTGGGATGGCARAAAGAGAAGGGATGGAATGCACCAGGTCAGGGCAGGCTGAATTTGTGAGAGGAGGGGAAGATAAAGGGTATTACAGGTGTTAGAAAATGCTGTTTGTGAGACAGAAAGAAACAGAGACAGGATGACAGTGGTTATTTGTTTGAATGACTGAATATGAGCCTGAGCATTGAAAGGAAGCTATGCAAGTGTAAAAGCATCCCAAAAACTGTAAATATGCAAATCCCTCAGATGTCCATGAAAAGGACAGACAGGAAGAGATGTGTGTGTGCAAGGACAGCCCAGGGGAGAGGCAACAGCACTGTGTGTGCAAAAGGAACTTGCCAGGGCAGCAAACMCTTGAGAGTGAAGCTGGAGGAGCAACGGGAAAGGGGAACACAAGAGCAAGGAGGAACTGACAGAGGGGAAGGAGGGAGAGGTGAAGAACTTCATGGAGGATGTACAGTCCATTGCACAGGCATGAAAGAAGGCAGAGGGAAAGGAAAGGAATGAACAGGGGAAACATTCGTCACACAGAAAATACTCTTGATGAAAAAAAAAGGCATGAAAAGATGGTGAAAAAGATAGTAAGAGATACAGAGGGGTGAGAATAGAATTAAGGAAGTGAGAAGAAAAAATGAAAAGGGGAAGAAAACTAAATAAGAAAGATTTTACTAGTTAACAGAAAGCATAAATCTCAGTGAAGAGATTTAAAGAAAGGACTAGAGCATAACACACCGTGGGCAGAACCAGAAATTCCCTGGAGACCAGTGCTGATGATCAGTACTTTATCTCCCATCTCTAGAACTCCACATCAACCCTCTTTCCCAGTGCATGTTTGCACATACAGCTAAAGCCAGTTTGTCTCCCTGAACTCCCAGGATCGGCGCATTCAAAACACCAGACCTGTTGATGGCAAGGAAAGCACAAACAGAACCATTTCCAAAGGAGCTCTTGAAAATCAAGATAAAAAAAGGTGAAAGTGGAACTTTGAGTGATCAGAGCCAGCAGGGAGGTGGAGCTGCTCTGCCAGCTGCTTTCCTTACCTTGGGTGCTCATGAGTGACCGGCTGGCTCTCTGCAGCTGCTGCAGGCTGCGCTCTCTACGTCTCCTCCATGCAATGGGCAGTGTCTCTCCAGGAGCCTTGCAGAGGTTATTTGTGCTCTGCAGCTGGTGAAAAGGAAAGGAAACACAAGGAGTGAAACACCCCCTGGCCCCTAAAGTACAAAAGTTTCGGGAGAATGGGGAATGAAGGMGGCTGGGGAGCTGGTGGCGGAACGGGCAAAGAGCCACACAGAAAGTAAGAAAAAGTGTGTCAGAGACTGGGAGGGGCGGAGAAGGAAAATGCAAAGATCTGACAGGAAACCAGACTATAAATCTGCTTSGGGTTTGAAAAAAACACATTTCTGCTCCCCAGCCATAGAGCCTRTTTGCAAATGACTCTGCAGGCAGGTGACAGCAGAGCCCTGTGCACCGGGCAAGCAAAGAACGGGGCAGAGATGCCCCTTGCCCAGGAAGAGCAGTGGGCAGAGGTGGCATTGGCACAAAAACCTGGCTCAGGCACCAAAAGCAGCCTGTCTGCACTGCCACTTCCAGCTCCACACACTGCCAGGGCACGTTTGCCTTAGGCTCAAGGGGATGCTGAATGCCAGCCTGGCTGCTCTGTGCCTCTCCCTGGTGGCTCAGGGCACTTGCTGGTAGAAAACAGTGGGGAGAAAAAAAAGGATGAAAGAACTGAAGAAAACAGAGTTTCAAGAACAACAGTTCCAGGCAGAAGGAGTTCTGGGTTTTCCCAAGGTTTCAAAGGTTTTTCAAGAAATAATCTATTTTATTAATAGCTTCTTTTGCTAAAAAGGCAGTCTAGAAGGTTTACTTTAGGCATTAGATTATTTACAGTTGAACGATATTTTAAACAATGTRTTTTCTGAATGCAATCTTTGCTGACACAAAAAAATGGCAGTATCTTGCATTGCTTCAATGTTGGATTCCAGATTTGAGGCCAACATGCAAACCCAGCCTCTGGTGGGTCTCACAGAGGAATTTACCTCTAGACTGCAACCAGGAGCCTCCCTGCAGCCAAACCGACCAGAGCAATCACTCAGTCACCATCCTTCTAGAAACTTCAATGCTGCTGAAGTGATCCTGGGCCTGAACCCCTTGCAGGATGTGCTGGTTCCTGTTCTGCCTCTTGAACACCAAGGGGATAACAASACACAGGGACAGCTCTGCACCCAGCCACTCCTGAGGTTTCACCTTTGCACTGGGCAGAGGCAGTGAAGCCTCCCTGGGGTCAGGTCCTGGATGTGTGAGGGACAGAGAAAAGAACCCTTGAAGAAAGGAGGAGTGTAAAAATGATCCCTGTGTGCACGGGTGACTGCAAAGGTCATCAGTGCAGCTACAAGTGCAAAAATATCAAATTGCAGGAACAATACGGGACAATTCAAGTTGAGTCACCCACAGGTTTTGCTGTCTGGGATGCTTTCTGCTCCCCCATGATTTTTGCAAGGTTCAGTTTTTGTCTGAGGGCGACTAGAAAAAAACAACTATGTATATATGGGCATGAACATGTTTTGATTTCCTGAGAGAAAATAACAGAAATAAAATCAGAAACACTAGAAAAAAATAAGCATAAGCGACCTATGATAGATAATTTAGGAATGTGTGTGTGGGAAAAGCATGATGACAATAGTGGGGTGAGAGAATAAGAAAGGCAAAAATATTTGGTAGAGAATAAAGAAAAACACAACAAATGGAAAGTAAGAAGAACAAAAGAACAGTGGAAAAACTATCAAAGGATACAGTGGCGTCAAAGAATAGAATAGAGGAAGTGAGGTGATAAAGTGAAAAGAAGAAATGTAAGGAAAATAGAGAAAACACATGGTTCWAAGTGTTGCTACAATAATACATAAAGTGTTCTTATCAAACTGAAAACAATAACCTGCAAAAATTGTAAGGGTGCAAAATATCTTCCAGGCAGCAAAATGCGGTGGGCAGCTCTGCTCCAATCCTCCCTTATTTTTTCTCTAATTTCACATGTTTATAACTGTATTGGGACTGGTAAGGGTCGAAGTTTATTCATAATGATGATACTGAAAGTGATTCTGGAAGCAATTCCAGYTCTCTGAATCAAGACCTCAAAGTCTAAGGAAGGCAGGAATTTCTGTCTCCGGCTGAGCAACAGCAGCACTTGCTATGCCCCCACCAATTTTTTTGCAGTGAGGACTATACTGTGGTGTGCTTTATCCTTGTGCAACTTTATCGAATTTCACCACTGAACAAACTTGGAGCTGMATGTGACAAGGTGCAGGAAAACCTCCTGCACTGAGCAGCCAAAAATCTCTGTGTGACAGCTGCACAGGTGAGGTTCTGCAGTTCCTGACTGGGGGAAAGTCAGCWATACTTTGGGAAAAAACTGAAATAGAGCTGTAAGAATCATGGCCTGCAATTATTCCATCAAAACCAATACAAGTTACTTTTGAGCTGAGCTTTCTGCTGCTTTCACAGAGGAAGCTGATTTGTGCATGCAACAGAGGAACCATTTTAAGCACAACCAGAGAAACTAACTCTGCTGGCAGGAGGCTTTGTGGCTTCACTTCAATTTTAAAACCACAGATCTTCCACACATGGCTCCTAACCTGAAAGGAAAAACATGCTAAAAATTCAAATCAAGACTCACCAAGTCTCACTATAGTTTTCTCCTTCTGTCCTTGATTTCTTCAGCAAACAGGGTATCAGACAGCACACTCTGAAAGCACCCCACGGAGCCAAACAAGTGCTTAGGTATCATTTGTTCCTGTTCCTGCTTTTGTTTTGTTTAATGCTCTAGATGACAAACAGATCAAAAAGTGCAGTAACTGTTTTGAAGAAAATGCCACATTTCCCTGGGCCTAAAGTGACGCCCTAGAGATGGAGCAATTATCCAGCAAAGCCTGAGCAGCTTTAAGGAATCYATCACAGAAATCAAAGGACCTAAAATTCTCATAGTCATAAAGGCTTTACTGGCAAACTGAGATTAGCTGAGCAGGATACAGTCATCAATCACAAAGCCACATGTAACTGAGTATCAACTTTTTTTTAAAAAGAATTTACAATCTTAATCCTGGTTTTCAGGTGTAAAAAATTCTCTCAAGCTATGAAAGTATTATGTTGACGTTGCAGTTCCTTGAGCCTGGTGGGCTGAAGTTATGTGTTCCACACAATGTAAGTGTAGGAAATAATTATGTTCTACTCAGCAAACAGAAAACACAAGAAAATTCAGATGCATCACCTAAAATACAGCAAAAAGCTGCAGAGTGTGATTAAGTCAGCTTTCTGGCCCAAATGCAGGGTCTAGGAGCCTGACTGAGTTTTAAGAAAGAATTTTCCTTATTTATTTTAATTTTTTTGGGGGAGGTGAGAAAACTGAATTGCCTGAAAGAGCTACCCCTCTCTCTTCTCTGTTTCTCTTAATAATAATCATAATAATAATAAAAATAATGATGATGATGATAATAATAATTACACTGGAACTTTCAGTTTAACAAACTCTCCAATCAAGGGGAACAAAAACCAGTACTTTTTCTTACTTGTTTTTGGTTATGGCTTCTCAGACTTCTTTCATTAAACTTGCTATAGGAAACAATAAATTGCACTTTTTCTTTCAAAGGCACTCCCCTCACCTGGAAGTCYCCTGGAAGGACCCACCTGATATGTTTGCTGTTTCATTCTTTCCCAGAGACTTTGGAAAAGAAGGGAATATTGAGCTCCTTCCAATGGGTCGAATTTTGCAGGATCTGAGCCCTGGTGGTACAATCTGGATGACAAGTGTGTCTTAAATCCTTTGGTGGTGCTGCGCCTTCCCTTCCTCCAGGCTTTCACTTTGGGATCCTTGCATAAAAAGTTATTTTATTAAGTGCTCAAACAGTGGAGAAGACTTGATATCTTAGATATTCCTCCCCATTTTTCTGGTCTCCTAAGTATTCTGCCCATGGGTGGCTTTTATACGAGAGCATCACTATTGGGGTCTGTAGGGAAAGTTTCTCCTCTTTCTCCTTCTGTCTGTCCCACAGGAATCCCATTTAATTCCTGTGGGCATAACTTCCCTCAGTGGAAGGTTCTCCTTGTGCACCACAACTTCCCACARAAGGATTTTTAAAGAGGTGATTCATCAGCTGTAAATCAGAACYGAAGCTGCTGCAGAGTTTTAAAGAGCTGCAGACTGAAGAGTTAAAAAGAAAAACCTCAAAAACAACAACAAAGCAGCATTTGGGAGTAAAGAAACACTAAAATGTCCAGCTCTTAATCTGCTGCTCCTTTTTTTCTGTTCTCTTCTCCTCCCAAGACAGCCATCCCATCCCATGAGGAGACTGCCCTTGACTCTTTATCAGCATAACAGTCCTGAAAATCCCTGGATACCAGAAACGCATTTCACAAACTACTGATTTGAGAACTAATATATTGCATTTCTCCTGCATGCCTGAGCACAGCAGCACCGTATATATTGTTAACACAACCCTTCCAACTCTTTAGAGCAGAGAAACAGAAGTATTAAATATTTTCCCCGTTTTACATATTTTATATTATCAGCCTTGCTCAACTATCCTTAGAGACTATCACTCTTACTTAAGGATGCTCACAATTTATCATTTTTCTCTGGAGATCTGACTTCCAGAACAGAAGTATTTCCCTATTCAATTCACCAGCCTGTGCATAAGCAGCTGTTAGTGTTCATCTGCCTTTTCTAGGCATTAACATCAAAAATGCCCCTTGATCTTAAAAAGTGACAMACAGCGTGGTTCCTTTAACACCTTTGGGGGTAATGGTTTAAATCCAGCAGGGAAATGTTCTCATCTATAGGTTTATGATACACATTTAAACAGTGCTTCAATTGCCTCAACTATGAAATAAGATGACAGCCAAACATATATCAGAGGGGAACAGAGARCATAAAATTCCCTCTTTCATTTGACAGTGGTGGGGCTTCCGTGGTTTTGCACAAAATGTACGGTCTGTGTCAAGTTTGACAGTATTATGGGATTTATCCCAGTCACCTGTTAGCATATTCACCCATTGTGGAAAATGTGGGTTCAAATCCATTCCGGAATCTGGGTTCACAATTCATGGCACACACCAGCCCTCCACTGAAGGAAAGAATCCTGAGGTTTTGATAGAACAAATGGGAATAGCTTTAAACAGAAAGGGGGTAGATTTAGATGGGATATTGGGAAGAAATTCCTCTCAGTGTGGGTGAGGAGGCCCTGGCACAGGGTGCCCAGAAAAGCTATGACTGCCCCAT